TGCGAAGGCCAGGCAGAAAATAATACGGAAATAAGACGAGAACATTAATGGAAATTTTAAAAACAAAATTCTAAATTAAATGTAACAATGAAAGCAATAACACAACAGACCGCCAGATTTCTGAAGCACAAATAGGCATCCCGCAAACTCTTTGATGACGATTGTAGAAAGGGTAGCAAAATAAATTCTTCGTTAATCAGGTCGCGCGGGGACAAGCGGCAATTATGAGCCGCTTTTTCAGCTGGTGTCAAATATTCATCATCTTCCTCTTCTTCTTCATCTTCCTCGTCCTCTTCTGATTCTGGGCCTCTTTGTTCTTCTTCATCATCACCTTCATCTTCTTCCTCCTCCTCCTCGACCTCTTCATCTTCATCTTCATCCTCTTCGTCTTCTTCGTCTTCATCCTCATCCACATCTGCTTCAGTGCTTCCTTCCAAATGATGGTCTTCGTCTTCTTCCGGTCCACTTTCTCCATCTTCTCTTGTGGGCAATGGATCAAGGGGAAAACGCTTACGATTAGCACATTTTGACCCTTTCATATCACTTAAAGACTCGATATGTCCTTCTGGCTGAGCCTCATTTTCTTCCTCTTCCCTCTCGTTACCCACAGTCTCTTCATCTAGCTCCTCGGTCTCCTCCATAGTCTCTTCTTCAGCTTCCACTTCGTCTTCTGCATCCGCCTCAGTCTCCATTTCTGCTTCTGCTTCCGGCTCCGGTTCATCTCCTTCATCCCACCCACCTTCATCACCAGCCTCTGCCTCCTCATCATGCTCTACTCGGACTAAGCGCTTCTGACGACCGCGTTTCCGAGGTAATCCACGATCTGAGCTAGTAGCAACACCTCGATTAACCGAACTAAGCATTTCGGTTTCACCACGAGACAGGCTGCTTCTGCGCGAGAATCGCGACGCAGTAGTAAGACGATTGCTTCGAGGACCACCTCGCGATGACAGACCACGGGACTAGGGAAATGAAAAAAGGAAATATAATGACGATCTAGTGACCGGCTGTGTGACAAGATGCGAACAAATAGAACAGTCCTTGATCAGCTTCACAAGCTCGAAGCTTCTATAATCGTGGGGTGCAGAGTCAAAATAATACAAATGAATATAGATTGAGGAGCTAATTTGATCTGGCATTTATGTAGTTAGATCATTTATAATTTTCCTGGACAGCTATCCACATGCAGATGCATAACCCCAAGTGGGATTGCTTGAGCTAGGCTAAGAGAACTACAAGGTGAAAACTTTATAATAAATGAACTAATCAATTCAAACTATTTACTCCAAGTTCATTGTTTAGCTGTGAGGAATTGAGCCAGTATACAGAAAATCAGCACAGCTTCTCTGAAATCATAGGGTGCTATGGATAGGACCGCTGCACACTTGTGGACCGAATTCGTTATATCGCATTGAATCGGATCGATAAAATTCTAAAGCATAACTTCGTTCAATTCATACAATTAAATATGTGGTCTCTTTTTGACGACATGCCTACCTTGTATATCTCTCATCATCTAAGGTCAGTATTAATTTGCTAAGAACTTCTTGGACATGTAGCATACTAGCAATCAAAGAAATCTTGTGGCCTTGAAGGATTACGAACTGTTCATCTACACGATCTAGCGCGTGCACACGATGAATAGAAATCTTCAAAATAAAGCTTTGAAAAATAAACGGATATTTTAATAATATAAAGTTATATGAAGTTTGTAGAAAAATATCATTTCCCAATGCCTCTAAAAGCAGCAATTTTCGTGGCACATATACCAAAAAGTGATTTTTAAGGTAATTAGCTCAATGCCAATGCTAGACACCACTGTGCGAAAAAACACTATTTGATCCTCTGATAAGAATACTGTATCACAAGAGTCTTGTAAGGCGATAATGGGTTACTATTACGAACAGCCAAGTTCCGATGAATCACGAAACTGATGCAACTTTCAAGACAAATCTGGTCTCTTCAAATCTACATTTATAGTGGAATTGAAGATTAGGCATTACTACAAAGTGAATAAGTATGTTTTGTAACTGTCAAAAAATCTCGGGTAAAAATTTTAGATCCAACTTTCAGTTTTTGTGTTACCTTAAGCGACCTAGGGGGGCTGAATTTATTTTGTAATAAGTACTAATTTAGTATAAGTGCAATCAATTTCAACCAGTATAACCAAAAAATATTATTGTATTTATTAAAGTGGATGGT